GATACTATAAAGGACTTCCTGCGCAGGCTAAACAGGAGCTTTTACGCTGGTGCACTTGATTGTGAATATTTGCAACACTTCAGTTTATTTCACTACAAAATCCTCAATGAGAATAAGTTTTTACGCCCGTACACTGCCTATTTTATAACTCAGACTGATGGAATTCACAATTTCCCAACTTAATACTGTGCGGATCATCATTAAGTAACTGAGTGTGCTGTTTACGTTTTCTAAGCAGCATCCTCCAGGGTCTGAAGTTAAGAGGGTGATCACGTGACCCCTTCCGAACTGTATCTGCTACCCATGGTGTGGAATCTTGTACATATGTATATAGGTTTTCCTTCTATTTTATATATTCTGACTATTTTCATATCATTTTATGTGTTACTGCATTGTATTAACTCTGTACCAGCATAGAGCTTTTGAGTTGTTTCTGATCACGAGACATTGTACATATTAAGTTACCTGTCTATATTATCTGTATCTAATGCCTTTACTGATGAGACATCTACACCATCTTCAATGTCATGCTTCCACAATATTCTTTGATATTACATGCCATTTTGTTAGTAATTTTGCATGTAGAAATTTATTTTAGATACTTCGTCTTGTACAGCCAACCCGATTGCCTTGCCGCATCACACGTGACTGTTGGTCACGCCCCTTCAACCTCCTAGTTTTTCCTCCCAAGGGTCTTTAATATTAAAGGTTAGGCCAGGAACGAAAAAAGCCTTTTATTGGTTGCTGGTAGTGACGTCACCCGGGTGACGAGACACATAGGTCGCCGCGTCTGCCACATGATTTTGATAACGGAAAAAAATGTAAGCTGTCATTTTATATGCTGTAGTTATAACAACATACCGGAAATACCGGGTATATACTTTCTGATTAAGCATTTTGTTAAAACAAATATTTATTTTATGCACAGAATTCGTACGGATGCTGAAAATAATAGTAAACATTACATCCTTTTCTTAAAGGAAAGCATTAGAAAATGAAAAACGATATTTAAGTTAATTAAGAGAAATAAATGTTGTAAAACAAGGTATTTTTCAATATTTTTGTTTTGTATTATCTGCATTAAATAAATCTTGTTGAATAGAACACATGAAGGCATAACTGCTAAACCATGGTAATAACATAATCAAAAAGTATTTCCCTATTTATTTTCATTGCTCATGCATTTTTTTTAATGCAAATGAACATTGACATTCCAACAGAAATATATGATCGTGATTTTCAGTTTAAATTACATAACTCAAGCAAAAATATATATAAAAAGATTTAAATCCATAAATTCATATTTAATTACCCCAGAAGTGCATATATTCTCAGTATTATTTAAAAGCACTCTTATAATCCCTTACACTCCTAAGATTTCTATATAACATGTATCTTGGAGTGTTTATTTTTTGTAGCAAATAATCTTCGATTTTCAAGCCCTATTCTTCCCTCCATAAATTAAAAATGGAATAATTAAAATACATTTCTTACACATAAATGCACTATAATAAAACTAATAAACTTGCCCTGCATCTTAATTTCAATTCAGCAGCCTGTATTCAAATTAAATATTTTTAATTACTAATGTATTTATATCAGATTGTTTCTTAAAATTTTTTTGTTATACTCAAAATAGTGTTCAGTATTTAATTATTTGTCTTTCTCTTATAATTAAAAACGAATTATACGGAATCAAAATTAAAACATATGCAGCAGTTAAATAACACTGAAGAGAATATCTTACTTAATCTTTCGCTATCGTATTCCAGCACAATATACAGATTTGTTTTTCTTCAGGGTCAAGCATGTGTAAGTTCACTTAGTTATATCAATTAAATTATATCAGACATATGCATCAGCTAAATAACACTGAAGGAAATATGTCACTCACTCATTCGATGTTTGCATCATAGTGTGGTTGAGAAATTGTTCTTTCCTCACGGTGAAGCATGTATTACTTTACTTAGTTCGCAATGCTTAACCCAGACATTGCTTCAATACATAGAATTACGTTTGGGATGTAAAGAAAGTAACCAAAACATGTGAATGAAGTTGGATAAGCGAATTTATCAACTAATCATTCAGGTACTCAGTATTGGTAACCATGACGCTGAGTTTAAATATCTCACTATGATGTAAGTCTCATTCACAAAATGAAGATTATGATAAAAAATTACTTAAAATGAGAAATTTTTCAATTTTAAATGTAAAATAGCAGTAAAATAAAAAATAAATGTAAAATTACATCACATTTATATATGAAAACTACATAAATTCATTAAAAAAAATAGTCGGTTATTTTATCTGGTTGTAAAGAGTGTTTTTCGCCAAAAAACGTATTGGCGTGTATAATTCTGACACAACGCTATAGCACAATTTGCCACTTCCGACTAGGTATAATAGCAAATTAACAACACAAATCAAAGCAAACTGTTGATGCAGCGAATGTAAACAACGCCAAGAACTAGCGACTGTCACCCACATGACGTCACTACGCATCGCTCTTGGGCCACCCCTGTGTCCGCCGGATCCGCTCTGAACATTCAACTCACTTTATCGCTCGCAGTAGCACCTTATGTTCACCTCCTACTCCTGCTTTAGCCTCGCCAGCTACGAACTCAGATACTCAGAGACTTCTCCGTAGATCCCGAGGTGGCTCTTCACATCGATTTGAATTTATCACCTTACACGCTCTCATGCCGATAGAACTTTGCACTATGGAAATAGGAATTTGTTACTGACTTCTAGTCAGCTATGCCAAAATTACTTTCACCGTATCCTTCAATAATCTAAAGACTATAATTGCTTTCGCTTCATATTACTCTTTCGTACAATGCTATATGCTTATCAAATGATATGCCTCAAAGTTTATTGCACGTGCTACAAACAGGATAGGGTTGTATCCGGGTGCCAGGAAACGATGCGTGACTTCGTCACCTCCAATAAGACAGCCGGAACAGAGCGAGCAAATTTGCAAGCTACTCGCGGATTAACATGAGAACTGGAAAAAAAAAAAAAAAAGTACAGGCATTTCTTTCCAATCCCACCAGACGCAGAGCATGACCTTCTTTGGATGAAGGCCGGCTTTCGGATTGGCTAAAGGGGGCTCATTCTGCTTTCCCCAAGTTCTTTCTCGCTCAACAATATTATAAAAGATCCATTTGTCATCCCCCGTTACTACTTGCTTCAAAACTGGTGTCTCCTCGTTGCGTTTATTGAGTAAATCGCAAATGGGAAAACGATCCATCAGATTTTTCTCCGTTAAATAATGAGGATCTCGTACATCAAAATGGTTTATGTAGCTGTTACCGCTAGAGTGTGGAATTCAATTATTCTGCAGATTATCTAGCTAATCTGTAGATTAACTAGGGTGACCTGTAGTGCGGGAAATAGTCTCATTTCTCAAATTACATAGGTAATCTGAAAATTACCTACTAGGCACAGGTTAAAGTGAAAATAAGATTATTGCTGGAACAACAGCAATGTTTCTGTACATTTAAAACAGCCGCCACTTACACTTTTATAATGTTGGTGGGCAGGTTTTTAGAAAATGTTACTGCAAATGTAAATGTACCACAAATAGGTGTGCTTGTCGCAAAATCCAGTTGGTATGTAATTCGAAGTGTCACCAGTCTGTAGATTGCTCTGGTAATAATTGTAATAATATTTTAAACCGTTTTATTCTTTGTATTACATTTTTTTAATTGATTGAGAATTGATTCTGTCTACTAATTTGTTGATTGGGTCATTGTATTAACTTGATTTTTTTAGATATCGTAAAATAAATAAATATTATTATATTAATTTAAGCGTACAGAAACATTGCTGTTGTTCCAGCAAAGATCTTATTTTCAGTTTAACGAGTGCCTAGTATGCAGTATGCAGATTATCGAGTGCCTAGTAGGTAATGTTCAAAGTGGAGAGAGAAGGAAAGGAAAAAAGAGAAACAAACTTTTGAACTTTACGGAAAGCCGTTAATGTGCACATTACCTACTTAGGTAAAATGCAGAAAATTCTTGATTCCGCACTTTAATGGAACAAATCAGTTAATCTGCAGATTAGCTAGATAATGTACACATTAACAACTTTTACACTTTAACGGTAAAACATAGCCATGCTTCACAAAATGCTGGTAGATGGTGGATTTTGACATGGCATTTTAATCTGATCTTCAGCTGGGTGCAGGATCACCAACTTTAAACTTAGCAAACCACTTCTGCACAATTCTTTCAGCTACAACACCTTCGCCATAAACAGTATATGTCGTTTGTTGCTTGTGTAACATTTTAGCCTTTCCGGTAAAAGAAAAGCTTTAAATGCCTAAAATGCACATAATTATCTTCCATATTAAAGGCTTATAAAACTGACAAAAATTAACTAACCAATTTTTTTTTTCCAAATATGCCTGAAGTACCGTCTTTTACGATATGTATGCATGTCATTTGTTTTCAATCTTTTTGATATATTCACACCTGTTTTTACGCCACCTATCAAAAATCGGCGCGAACTTTCAGGACAACCCAACAGTATAAGGATAGTTATTTAAGAGTAAAATTATGTTTTCAGAAATCAAGAGAAGACAGCGAAGTTTTCAAAATTATGGATTTGGGGAAAATAAAATGATTAAAATGTAATAACTTTAATAAAATGTTCTCTCTGATAATCTTGGAATGCATAAATTTCGATTGATATTTTGTTCTGTGTGACTGTGAGGAAGCAGATTAAAAACATCAGAACCATTTTGGGTATCCTAGGCAGAAAAATAAATTCACGCCGTTGTATACTTTTAATTTGCAGAGTATAGAAATTCAATAAATATCATTACTGCACAGTTTGGCATCCTTCCTAACTGTTCACATGAGGCATGCATAATTTTATTTTTGTGTCATTTTACAGTTACTAAGCATTCTTTCATTTCAAATGCATGCACTCTTGTTTTTATTTTAATCACATTTTAATGAAAAGGCAAAATTGATGATTTTTCTATTTATTTTCAGCTCAAGCTGTCATGGAGAAATATATGTTGAGTATCATGTCGGAGGCCAAAATGAAGCAATAAAACAGAAATTTTAGTAAATTATTTAATATTTCATGAATATATTTATATAGAATTAGTTTTATTTATCTATAGAATACTGTTATTTTACAATTCTCATTATTATCTAATATCTATCAATATACATGAAAATAAAGACTATTTTTTTTTTGATGAATCTGTGTATACCCTTTTTATTTCATTCATTTAACAAAAGATATTTCACTTAAAATGTTTTATTCTAAAACCAGTTAATTATTTTTCTGGAACTGCAACTGTTTTTTTTTTTTTTTTTTTTTTTTTTTTTTTAAATCTGTTGTTTTTGAGGGGAAGAAATTCTGGAGACAGGGAAGGAAATGTTGTTAGGGAAGTATGTTTAATACATATTCACCCATTAGCTTTAATTTTTATCTCGTAAAATATGTTCATATCTAAGGATAAATCGAACAGTGAGGTTAGTGTTGTTATATGTTAAAAAAATAGATACAAAAAGAAACATAAAAAGATGCTAAAATTAAAATTAAATTTTTATACCCGTCCTGCGCTATAGCTGCAGGATTGAAGTAAAGTAGACTTAAAGAATCTAAATTTAAAAGTAAATTGGAGTCAAAGTAAGGCTATCCCTCAACAATATTAATAATAGCAATCGTGTATAAGAGGTTTAACACATATCCAAACATATCAAATTAAAATAAGAATTCAAAGTAGTACATACTCTAGAAATAAGAATCATTTATTTAAAAAATTAGAGGTATACAAAATAAAGTAATCTTACTTCTCAGCAAATTAAAATAACGGTATTTTCTCTAACTACTATATAAAGGGAGGGACCAAGGCTCGTTCCATATGGGAGCCTAACACCATCTATTCACTTGATTTTTTTACCCAGCTTGAAACCTTCCAACACTGTTTTTGTCATAATGCATTGATTTTTTTTTTTCAGAGTACGCTTTCGAAAATGTGAGTAAATGTTTTTAAAAATTACTCCACGAAAAAAAGAAAGCATCTCGTCAGGCCATTAATATGTTTCCTGAAATTAAAAAAATAATAATAATAAATGTCACCCAAAAAAACGGGACGCCCGTAATTACAAAATAAGAATAGGAAAATTATATTTTTGAACGACTTTTAAATAACCACTTTAAAAACATTTTCTTGAAATTAACATTTACAGCATCTTCAAAAAAATCTGTTTTCAATGTAATATAACAATCTGTTATGTTATCAATACGTTTAGTTATGAAAGATTTTGATAGCATTTGTTTTATGGAAAGCACATTCTACTCTGTACAGGGTTCGCACGGTCCTTAAAAGTCCTTAATTTTTTCAAAAATGATTTTGGTTCTTAAAAGTCCTTAATTTTGGCCAAAATGAATAAACGGTCCTTAATTTTGCTAATTTGACATTTCTTATCATTTCTAATGATTGCCATTCTCAGTGTGAATTGCGATTTCTCATGAATATGAAATTAAAATTACACGCCTCCTAACCACTTTGTTGGCGGATTAGCGTTACAAACGATTAAAAAAAAAAAAAAAGAAGAAAACAATTAGCTACCCGAACGAAAGTATCGGTGTCTGATTGGCTATTCACCCAATCTTTCGAAACAGGTGTTATCCATAAATTTAGGCAGATTGTGACGAAAGCGTGAAGCCGGAAGTTCTTTAAGAGGCGAAAGTGATGATGAAGGTGCTCGAGAAAAAAAAAGGGGGGGGGGATTCTGAAAATATTTGCCAAAATTAGAGCAATTCCCAACCTGGAAGGCCACAACCCTTCCGACGCCAATAGGAACGAGATGCCTGGAAAGTGCATTTTCAATAAACTGTGGCTTCATCAAGCTGACTACAAAGACTGGATATTGATGGATGACAATCCTTATAAAGCTAAATGTGGTCTTTGTCTGAAACAAATTGAAATTTCTAGAATGGGAGAGTCAGCGCTGAAAATTCACATGAAAATTAAGTTTCGTTTTATCATTTCAATTTGTTTTTACACGGTTTTGCTTAGCTTAATTTCTGTGTTTGTTTGTTTCAATTAAGCCATAAATTAATTTTTTATCACCTTCTACGGAGTTTATTCTCTTTTGCACATACTATATGTATGGGATATCGGGATTATGAGTTTATTTCTGCAGAGGGTCTGTTATCGATTTCGCGGGAAATCTGTTGGCTCCATTTCGATTTTAGGTCGCCAAGGGCAAAATTCGGTAACGCTAGCCGAGAAAAAGTGAAGTTCGGAAATACGTTTTGAAGCTTCAATAGACAATTAAGTATTTGGTTTAATCCTATGCTGTTTGATAGTAATGCATTATTTTTGCTAATGGCGATACACATTAGTTGAAAAAACTAACTAATTAAAAATTTTTAATATTTTTTAAAGCTGAAAACAACTAATTGAAACTAATTTTCCTGAATTAACTAGACGCAAAATTAACTTTCATGAATTACTAAAGTTATTGGGTAGAAGTTTAACTGAAAATATATTACATTCCGTATTATATATATATATATATATATATAATATATATATATATATATTATATATTTATACAGTACAAAGTCCGAGGTCTGGACTCGTCGGGACTTCGGCGATCCCAGATTTGAGATTTTTCCGGATATTAGATCATTTTAAATCTACTAAGATGGCACGTAGAAATTATAAAATTGAAAATATGAAATCGTGATTTATGAAATAATGAAGCATTTATGATTTAAAGGGTATCAAAATTTACAAAAGAAAAGAGCTTAATATTTATATGTTTACTTTATTAAACATTTCTTTCAATGTGAGTTGTCTGATTTGTTTCCTCTGCTAATACTTTAGACTAATACTAATACTATAGACATATAATTTCTTGTTCAGTTATTAAGTTCCATTGTTCAAGTCCTGTAATTGCTGTGTCGAGAATTCCGAATAACTTGTCAATCAAAATTTTTTCTAGTTCAGTAACCTCTCTGTTACTTTCTTCACTATCGGAAGCTGTATTTTCTGGATTTAGAACTATACTACAGACTTCGCCCTCCGTTAATTGATTGATGATTGGGGCATTGTCATCGCAATGAAAAACTTCTGTTTAACTTCCCTAAATTCTGCCGCCTGGTGCGGCCATGCGAGCTCTGGCGCTGGTTCTGGCTTTATGTGAATAACAAATCAGTTATTCTTAATTCAAATAGCACTAAATATAATCGTTTGTCCTAAGAGTATCATTAACAAAATCTATTTTTAGCATAAGAAAGAAATTTCTGTTAAATCTCCCCCTTGTCAACATTTTAGCGCATTAAACTTAAATCTGTAATCGGATAATACTCTGTTATTTGGCGTCGCTGCATGAGTCATCACTCAAGTTGTCATCCGTTGATAAACATGCGGTGATGAAAGCAAAATACAATAAATAATGATTCGCGATTTCGGCATCAAGGATATAAAATATTAGTTGGTGTAAAATTAACAAATGTTTCGGTTTGAGATTATGCCAAGCAGATACGCAGCTATGGAGTCAAGTTACTAATCACACAAATTTATGCTAAAATAATTATTTCTTCAATAATGAGATATTTTATTTAGCGCCAAACTGAGATTAAGAATCGGGATTTCCGGCATGTTTTTTTTTATGATGAGGAAAAAAATCTAATGCGCATGCGTAAAGCATACCCCTTCCCTCCAAAAAAAGCCCTAAAAAATTGGTTGGTGGTGGCTTTGAGGTCCGGATTTTAGATCATTCCAGATATTGGATGTCCGGATCTCGGACTTTGTACTGTATATATATATATATATATATATATATAGTAAAAATGTATATTTTCAGTATACATTTCTTATTATATATATATACATACATTATATACACTCATGTCCATAAATTAAGGAAATGCAAAATCAGGCAAAGGAGAGTTAGAAGCAAAACAAATTTGACTTATTTGTAAAGCTTATTTATTAAACATAAGGTAAAGAGCAAAAAAGGATGCTATATGTTTGATACTATTAAAAAAATAGCGATTTTTTCTCCCTAGAGCAAATTTAAAAAAACCTATTTACAAAAAACGAATATTACATGGTTGGTATGATTGTTAATACATTGTATGTCTCCCAGACGATACAATACAGTCCGTACAACGCCTAGGCATGCTGAGTATCAAATTATCGATCTGATCTTGGGGGATATTACACCACTTAAAAAGCAATGCTCTCCGAAGTTCCGGTAGACATGTAGGAGGAGGTTGACAGGCTGCAATTCGTTGGCCAAGCATGTTCCACACGTGCTCTACTGGATTCAAGTCCGGTGAGAATGCTGGCCAGTCCATACGGGTGATATCCTCGAATTGAAGGCATTCGCTTACGATGTTTGCACGGTGAGGACGGGCGTTGTCATCCATAAACACAAATTGTGCGCTCATGTACCCCGAAACAAACGTACATGTTGTTCCAGAATGACGTCCCGATAGATTTGGCTTGTCATGGTTCCAATTTGAACATGCAGGTCAGTTCTGGAACCCAGAATAATTCCACCCCAAACGAGCACTCCTGCACCACCGTAACGGTGTCGTTCAATGATGTTTTCTTGGTGGTAACGGGTACCTGGAGCTCTCCATATGAAAGTCCGGCGAGAATCAGACTGCAAGCTAAACCTGGACTCGTCGGAAAACATCCCACAAGCCCACTGTTGCGGTGTCCACAATGCATGCTCTCTACTCCAGGCTAACCGCAGGCGACAGTGAGTTGCAGTAAGTGGAACGCATCTGACAGGTCTACGAGCATATAGACCAATCTGCCCTAAGCGTCTGTACACGGTCTGCCTTGAAATTGTCGTACCAGTGGCTGAAGAGAGCTGACGAGACAGGTCTGAGGCTGTGCTCCGCCTGTTTCTTTTGGCAGTAACTGCCAAATACCGGTCTCATTCGGCGTTGTAACTCTGGGCGACCTGTGCTGTAACGTCTACTCACATTACCATCATCTTGGAATCGTTGCCAAAGCCTGGAGATGACACTCTGGGCAATTCCAAGTTCGTCTGATACTTCCAGCTGAGTACGCCCACATTCCAAACGGCCGATAATTCTACCACGTAAAAAATCATCCAAATGCGTCCTTTGTGTCATAACTATTCGGTTATTGCACTGAAATGCTTATAAAGCGCCTGCGAACAATTTTACTTCTTTGCCTGTATTCCTTATATATCACTCT